GCACTAACATGGCTTTTCTTATACCTCTTGGTTAGATCACCAAAGGTAATAAATGGACAGTTACTTCTCCACTTGCAGAGATCCGCAAATTTATTTGTAGTTTTCCCCTCCTATTCAATAAATCTAATTTACTGCTAGGGGAAATAATAGGGTGCTTTGAGGTCAAATATCTGCATATACAGGTGACACTTATTCATGTCTTTGTCCTTGATGTAAATAAGCTCCTAGGGCAGAGGATCGCAAACTGTGGTCCGTGGACCACCAGTTGTCCGTGAGCACCATTCAGGTCGTCTGCGGATAGTTCCCTCTAAGGTGCGTGCCTGGGAGGCCACACACAAAAGAATGAAGGACCACCCACCTAATTAGTGGAGCCGCACAGGCATGACTCCACTAATTAGGTGCCTGGACCCTGGAGAAGATGCACATGTAAGGTGGTGGCCTTGGGAGGAATAGGGTGTAGATAGGAGGGGGTAGTGGTGTGAGAAGAGGAGGTGGAGGGGAATTTGGGACGTGCAGGGCTGCGGTGGCCAGAGAAAGAGGCGACTTTCTCCAGCTCCAGGGCTGCAGTTGCTGGGGAGAGATGGCCCTCCTTCCCAGCCTCAGCTCTATGGCTGCCATGGTGGGGGAGAGAGGGAGAGACCCCCTTCTGCCCAGCCGGGGGGCTGCCACGGTGGGGGAGAGAGGGCACATCCATTGTATTAGAAAGGTAAGACTGCTGATATTAAAATATGAGTTGTGTGCTTTTATTTGTAGAACAAAAAAAACGTTAATTCTTATTAAAGTTTTTTTTTAAAATAGCTCTTTTATACAAAGTGCTTTACAATAGTTAACTAATGGTACAAACAACATTTGGAAAGATCCTTCAGTGGTCCGCCAAGACCCCCAGCAATCTTCAAGTGGTCTACGAAAAATAATTTGAGAACCACTGTCCTAGAGGAAGGGCACCTGGCTCAATTCAAGCCCCGTAAGGCTGAGCCAGGGCCAGATTAAGCCTTTAGAGGCCCTAAGCACTGAAAACATTATGGTGCCCCCCCATATGTAATTCAAAATAAAAACAATACTACACCGTAAAATAAAATTTTATTTTTCGAAATGACACAAAACTTACATGTATGCTGAAATTAAAATAGTTTCTTTCTAGATTTTCTGATTACAAAATTCTGGATAAGTTCATCGAAGCTGACTCAACGAAGCATGTCTGCTTCCATACACAATAGGGAAAGTGAATCAAGTCTGTCCTGACACATTATTGTTCTCTGAGGGTTTTTTATTCTTTTTCTCAGCTGAGGAAAAGAGCGTTCTGCGGAGCAGTTAGTAATTATCAATGTTAGAAAAATATGTAGTGCAATCTCTACATTTGGAAATATACGTTTTTCAATATTGTGTCATGAAGATCAATGTGACTGAATTTCATTTTTCCTGTTTCATTAAACTTTGCACGCATATAACAGTGGAACTGCCATACTTCTCCACAGACATTCATGTTCAAGTCAACAGGGTATGAGTCAACTAGCTTTCGGGAACCTTGTGAATATTGTTAGTCAGATAAGTCCATATCATTTAGAAAAGAAAATCTACTTGATACTTCTTTGTACACTTCACCTCTCCTCTTCCTATGAGCTTCAAGTGTATCAGTTATAGCGTAGTAAGTAGTTATGCGAAATTTGTCTCTAGGATTCAATGCTGTTTCTATTGCACTGCTATCATTTGCTTGTTTTTTCCTGATTCGCTTGCAGGACTGGGCTTCTTTGTAGTTAGTATCAGGCAAGATATCTTTTGATATGTCTTCAAGTCTTTTGAAATCATTCCTCAAAGTGTGTAAGTGTCTGCTGATTGACAGAGGTCTGGTCATGTTTTCAAATCCAATTCTTTTTCTTGGAGAGCTTGACTTGTGTGGTAAAAGTGTTGTAAAATTTCATTCCACATGGTCAACATGAATACAAACTCTAGTTCTTGCATCTTGTTTGCAATGTTTTCTGCCTCTTGTATAGTTTCTCCCTTTTGTGATTGGTCTTCAGCTATACTTCCTAATGAATCCACAATCTTTGAGTAGGACTCCAGAATTGCATTTGTTGCCATTGCATGTGCCCCCCAGCGAGTATTAGAGAGATTTCAACACACGATCATTACCCAAATATGTTTTAAGAACTGCCCATCGGTGTGTTGAGGCAGAGAAAAATGTATAAAGTAACTGGACTGTTGAGAAAAAACTTACTGCCACCGGACAACAATCAACAGCACTGTGGCCAACAAGATTGAGAGAATGTGCAGCACAAGGTATGAATATGGCATATTCTGTTCTGTTCTAAAAGCTTCTTCTGCATTCCTTGATAACGCCCTGACATGTTGGCAGCGTTGTCATAAGATTGACCTCTGCACTTTGAGAAATCTATTTTACAAACTTGGCACAGATAATGCAGTACTTGATTTGCCATTTCTTCACCAGTGTGCCTTTTCAAACTGAGGAATGTTATAAATCATTCAACTGGTTTTCCATCTGTGGGAGACACATATCTTACTACAATACTCAATTGACCAGTATGTGAAAGATCAGGTGTAGAGTCGACAGATAAACTGAAGTACCCAGCAGTACTAATTTCATCCACAATAGCTGAACGAACTTTGTCACTCATTAGACTGATGAGTTCATCACATATTGTCTTGGATATGATGGGTTACTTTTGCCAGCATTCCCATATTTTGAGATATGGCCTGATTAAAAATGGGTCAAACTGAGCCACAAGCTCCAACAATCCCAAGAAATTTCCATTCTGCAATGATCCAAATGCATCAGTTGATCCCCAGAAAGGCAGACCACATTCAGCTAATGTTTGAATAATAGCTATAACACACTGCAAGACATGTTGCTAATATTCACGCTTCCCTTTAATTTGTTCTTCCAATTTTTGTGTCAATCCTGTCTTCGATTTAAATATGTCAACACCGAATCTCTGTGAGTAGTGATATTTTGATGTTGTTCAATTAAAACAGTATTCCGCCAGTCCCTAAATCCATCTGCAGCAAACCAGGATGTTGAAGATTCATATGCAAAAAGTTTGCAAACAAAACAGTACACAGACCCTCTTGATGGTGAATACAGTAGCCATTCTCGAGTGTATTTCTCACCATTCGCTTTCATGCTGAAAAATATTTTTTTGTGGACAATATCATGTTGGTTTGCCATTGGTAAAAGTCTGACATGATTTCTCAAATGGGCCCAGTGTGGTGTTGACAGTCATTTGGTCCACGATCTATCCAGTAAGCTACATCATCGGTACTGAAATCAACCCACACACCAGGATCTTTTCTCCTATTATTTACAGCATGAGCAGGTTCAGTCTCTGACACATCCACACCTTCTAGAACAACGTCTGTTTTACCACCAGGAGTAGGATGATCAGTTACAGTCTCTGACACATCCACATGTTCTGGAATGGTGTTTGTATCACCAGTAGAAGAAGTCTCTGAAACACCTACAGGTTTTGGAACGATGTCTGTGCTACTGAGAGAAGATGTTGTTTCTGATGGATTTGCTTTGGAAGATTTTGGAAAATTTCACTAGTTTTTTGTTTCTTTTCTTCTGCCAGTTTACATTTCTGTACTCTACTCGGTTACATTTCATCCTGCCCCTTATCTCAGTTATCTGAACTTAAAAAAAACCCAAATTACACAACGTACACTATTTTTATGTATGTGTGTGTATATATTAGAAAAAAATGAATCAAGTACATATAACTCAGAAGAATATATCAATAATAAAACATAAATTTATTGCAATACATGACAGGATCTGATTTCCTCGGATTATTTCGATCTACTTTAGTAGGATGCCCCCCTGGTTTAGGTGGGGATAAGTAATAAAAAGAGAACAGAAAAACAGGGGAAGAGTGTGTAGTGGAGTGTAAGGAAGTCTAATAAAGTTCTGATTTTTCCCATGATGACTACTTCAATGCTTTTTTTGAAATATCAAATATCCAATTTTTTCAAAAACGAATCTCTTTTTTTTTAGTGCCCCCTGCTTTGTTGGTGCCCTAAGCATGTGCTTAGTCTGCCTATTAGGTTATCCAGCCCTGGGCTGAGCTGATGCTGGTAGAAACTGGCAGAAAAGGATACAGTCACTATTTTAGGTATCTGCCCTCCACTCATCAAGGTGCTACACAATCTTCAGATCAGCAAGACTGAGTTGTTGCTCTTAAATGTTCTGAAAAGCAACAGGAACTAGAAACACCACCTTTCATCTTGGGCTAGACGAATGCAACCTTAATCAGAATTATAAAACAGTGTGTGTGTGTGTTATATATACACATACACACACCTATTTTACTTCCACAAGTAAATGGAGAGAAACAAAAACTTATAACAAGAATCAATAAATTTCATGACAGACTGGCACGCTCGGTGATGTATCCCTCCAACATATTTTAAAATCTCATTGTTGATTTTAATAACCTTACATTAACGTTGCAGCAGAAGAGTTTTTTGTTTATTTTTATGTAATTATAAAAACACTGAAATATGAAAAAACTAATGTATTTATGAAGTGGTGCTAGGTGGCCCCTATTTGTATTATGGTTGGGTGTCTCAAACAGTTTTGTCCAGAATAATTTTAGTGCAGATTAGGCTGGTTAAAGGATCACCCTACAAAAAAGGGGGTGAGCCTTAGAGTATATTTATAGAAACGTATTGTACGCTGAAAATTGGGAATGAAGGATTTTATAGTGAAACACAAGATTCAGGCATGCAGATAGGAGACATGGGGGGATTCTGGGGAGAAGGAGAAACACACCTTCCCACACAGATTTAATGCCATTTATTGTTTCTGGCGCTCAGATACTGGCTTGCTGGGTACCTTAAAAACGACAGGCAGATTCAGATCTTTCTTGCATAAATTGAAGATCTCGTTGGTAGCAAACACGTTCTTACTATTTTCCTCTCATCGCTGTAGCCAGGCCACGCACGCAGCCCGGTTTTCCCAGGATCCGGCCGTGCAGAATCTAGCAGCGAACACAGGGCGTCGCCCTCCTTCCTAGGCAGAGGATTCCCGTCAACCATGTTCCCAAGGCTTCGGGTGCCGCAGCTCGCTCTGCGCCGGGCGGCGGCGAGGGAGGAGGGACGGGAGGAGGAGCCGCCGCCGCGGCCAGGGGCCGGAATTGTTTCCTGGGCTAAGCGCAGCAAGCTGGGAAAGCGTTTCCGGAGGGCTGGTTACATCCCGCAGCTGATGTTGGACGCCGCTTGTGCGGGCGAGAGGCGGCGAGCGGAGGGAGCAGCCCGGGCGGCGCAGGGGTAAGTCTGGCGAGGCGGAGCGCAGCGGCCAGGTGCGTCCCGGCTCCTCTTCGCCTGGCCTCGCTGGGCTGTGCCTGGGGCGAGCCGGGGAAGGGCAGGACGTGCCTGGGGGCGGCTGCGCCCGCGGGAGAACGTGGGCTCGGCTCTCCGCCAGCCGCAGCTGCCGCCGCCGCGGTGCCCCGTGCTCGGCGGGCGCGCCTGGCTCACCGTCGCTCTCCCTGCCGCGGCTGCGGGCGCAGGGCGCGCCCGGGGTTGGAGAAGACGGTGGACATCACCGGCTCTGTCCCACCAGCCCCACCGCCTGGCTGCCCCTCCTGGCCGTCAGCTGGGGGAGGCAGGGCGGGGTGGTGGGCTGGGAGGGAGCCCCAGCCCGTGCGTGTGCGCGCCGCGGAGGCGCTCGGCAGAGCTGAGCTGTCCCCGGCGGGAGGATGCTGGCTGCGGTGAGGTGAGGGCAAGGGAGAGTGCGGGGCGTAGAAAGCCAGGGGGAGATTAAGAGCTAGAGCGCTGTAGGTACGAAATGAGGCGGGGAGGGAGGTGAAAGGGCTTTCCAGTAGACATGGCCTTGTAGCCCACGAGCTCCTCTCCAGCCTTATCCGTGCGGAGGCCCACAGGAAGAGGAGTGGGGTGTGAGGAGTATCCGAGGACCGAGAGGTGGTGCAGAGCGCGCACGATGTAGAAGTCATTTGAGCAGCGAATGTAGAAGAAAGGACCCCTGGAAGCATATTGGGGTGTTTTGGAATTTGGCTTTTCCTTTTATTTATAGACGACACAGCTTATTAGCCAAGTCTTAAGTAGGTTCAAAATCTTGGCCATTGTAAAAATGCTGCAGTTTTATTTATCCAGCATATTGGGCCTGAATCTGCACCACTGAAGTGCATGGGATTTTTTTTGTCATTGTCTCCACTCGACCCTTCTAGCCCTTTATCTTTTTCAAAGCATTTACAGTCTTTAAGAGATGTTCTTATGAAACAGTAAAAATTGCATAATGGACATGCATTGAAAAGCCCCAAACAGACACAATGGCTCTGACATTGGATTGAACTTGTTTAGAAGTGTGAGATAGGGATCATAAAGCCTGCATTTTTATGTAATACAAAGAATGACATTAGAATAGTGTTAAAAGTCTCAAACTTACGGAGGCAAAGCAATCACTCACTACAGTGGTAGTTATAAAGTACAATAAGCACATACACAATAAATCTTAGTAATTTCCCTTGAGTTCTGCAGATGCCATAAGATTCTAAAACCCAGATAAGGATACATCACTTTTAGCTGCTGCTGGCACTGTATGTCCTCTAGTTCCATGTCAACATGTGTTATCGATTAATTCTAGATCTGATATTGTCATAATTCTGGTGTCGCTCCTGCTTTAGTTATTTTGACTGCATCAGAATTAGCTGATGTACTAAAAACTATTTTCTGTATATCTAACACAAGCTTTTTAAAAACAAGAATGTAGCATATTTAAATAAATAAGAGTCCATAGTAGTGAGCATTTCACAATGTCATTGTGACACAATAACAATTCTTTAACTTTCTTGCATGGAAAAACAATTTTAAATAAACCATACAAAAATCCAAGTAGTTTCTATCGATCATTTGAAGGAATGAGGTTTATTTTTTTAACAGGTGAAATTAAGGTGAATAAAGTATAAACTATTCAGGAAGAAGAATAGTTTTATAGTGAGTTTAGAATCGAGAAGAATTCTCTATCAATAAAGCAGCTCAAGCAAATGTGGCATTCCCAATTTGGGAGACCATCAAGATTAGCTCAAAATAGGATGGGTAGCATTCCCAGTGAATAGGACACGGAGCTTGAAGCCAGGAGACCTGGGTTCTTTTTCTTAGATTTGTGGCTGACTACATGAGAAGCCAGTGAAGATGGGGATGGGATGTGGCCCAATCTTTTACTTTTAAGAGGCTGATTCTGCTGTCATTGAAGTCAGTGCTTCACTAGGGGGTATGGAATAGGACTCAGAGTAGTCAGATTCAATGTTTGAATTAGAGAGAGTAGGAATTTAGGAAGCTTGTAAAGAAAGAACTTCTATACTTGAGATGGCATGAAATAAGGGTTTCAGCAGAGGCAGGGTCAAGGTAAAGATTAATTCTGGCATTTGGTCTGTAGATGGTGATAAGCTGACTGACTCCTCAGTCTTGTATCACCTTTATCTGTCAAATGAGGAACAAGGATGAATCAAAGTCTTTTGGACTTGGAAACAAAGTGAAGTTCCACGTTGGTAATGTACAATAGCAATACTTGACAAAGTGCAAACAGGTTCTCACAACAAAATTTATGGTGGCCTCAAAGTGCGGCCACCAACTGTTGCTGGTGACCGCGCTGCCAGTTTAACTTTAGGAAAAACAAACAATTATGCACATATACATGTCCAAGTAAATATAATTTATTGACTCTTTTTGCAGACTCAATAATAAAAATAATGTGCAGTTGTCTATTCTTTACTGGACCTAAACAGAATAAAAACACAAATAAGGTGCTCTTGCAGGTTCTTGTCTTTGTTAAAAGAAAAGGAGTACTAGTGGCACCTTAGAGACTAACCAATTTATTTGAGCATAAGCTTTCGTGAGCTACAGCTCACTTCATCGGATGCATTCAGTGGAAATTACAGTGAGGAGATTTATATACACACACACAACATGAAAAAATGGGTGTTATCATGCACATTGTAAGGAGAGTGATCACTTAAGATGAGCTATTACCAGCGGGAGAGCTGGGGGAGAAAATCTTTTGTAGTGATAATCAAGGTGGGCCATTGCCAGCAGTTAACAGGAACGTCTGAGGAGCAGTGTGTGGGGGGAAATAAACATGGGGAAATAGTTTTACTTTGTGTAATGACACATCCACTCCCATTCTCTATTCAAGCCTAAGTTAATTGTATCCAGTTTGCAAATTAATTCCAATTCAGCAGTCTCTCGTTGGAGTCTGTTTTCGAAGTCTTTTTGTTGTAATATTGCGACCTTTAGGTCTGTAATCGCGTGACCAGAGAGATTGAAGTGTTCTCTGACTGGTTTATGAATGTTATAGTTCTTGACATCTGATTTGTGTCCATTTATTCTTTTACGTAGAGACTGTCCAGTATGACCAATGTACATGGCAGAGGGGCATTGCTGGCACATGATGGCATATATCACATTGGTAGATTATAGACCTAGAGGTCGCAATATTACAACAAAAAGACTTCAAAAACAGACTCCAAAGAGAGACTGCTGAATTGCAATTAAAAGATTAAAAATGGCCCACCTTGATTACAAAAGGTTTTCTCCCCCCCGCTCTCCTGCTGGTAATAGCTCATCTTAAGTGATCACTCTCCTTACAATGTGTATGATAACACCCATTTTTTCATGTTCTGTGTGTATATAAATCTCCTCACTGTATTTTCCACTGAATGCATCTGATGAAGTGAGCTGTAGCTCACGAAAGCTTATGCTCAAATAAATTGGTTAGTCTCTAAGGTGCCACTAGTACTCCTTTTCTTTTTCCGAATACAGACTAACACGGCTGCTACTCTGAAACTTGCTTTGTTGTTTCTTTTTTTTTTTTTTTAAAGACTTGCTAGCTTGTAGGTCTGTGGCTGTGAAAAGTGATATTAACAGATATCACTTTTCATGTCAGACTTACTCAGTCCTGGCAAGCCTGGGGACAAATTAAGCCTTGGATGGGGACGTCGGTAGGTAGGGGATGAGGGGAGGAATGCATGATGGGCTGGGTGGAGGCAGTGGGGGCCAGAGGCAATGAGGGGGTGAGCCCCGCAGCTGGGGGTTGGAGTCCCTTTGCCAGAGCCTGTTGCTCACCACCCCAGGGCTGGAACCGGACCCTACAGTCGCCAGGAAGGTGGGAACTCACTAGCTGCCTGTGTCTCTAGTGGGGAGCAGGGTCCAACCCCTGCTGTTGGCCCTGGGGGAAGGACCACTGCTTTGCACCCCCACCCCCGCCCAGGAGGCTGTGGCCGCAAGAAAAGCCCCTGGTGGCCGCATGATGGCCACATTTGAGAAATTCTGGGTAGAATGTACAATGCGAGTAAACCATACAATATCTATACCTACCCACAGCAGAACTCTAAACCAAAAAGTATCTGGCTGCTATCTCTGTTTCAGACATACTTATTTTAATGTATTCTTTCTCTGGTAATATTATTTTAATAACATTGTTTGAAAAATACAACAAATTGCTCAGAACCACTAGTGTAGACATTGGACCAATTTTAAAAACGCATAGTTATGTTTGCTTTAGTAAAATTATTTTGAGACGTAGATTTGTAGCATGCTTTGTAGCCACTTCCAAAAATATCTTGGTAGTTGGAATTTTTTTCCTCCAAGCTACTAAGGAATTGGGCCATAGCAATACCTAATTGCATGGAAACTTCTTTTTAAATCAGAACTGTGTGCAAAGAGGTGACTTGGATGGTAAACTTCCTTATGTGCCCTTATAACTTGTTTGAACTGACTTAAAAATATAAACAGGTAAAAATTTAAAAACTTGTTTCCAAATTGACTTTTGTGTACCAGCTTCTTATAAATCCTGGCTCACTTATAAATCCCTGAAAGGAGAAATCTGTAATGGAAAGGTGGTTGACCTTTCCTGCAATGGTGCAGATGTTGTTGTTACTAGAAGATGGTAGAGATAATAGTAAAATGATCATAAATTTTGAAAAAATTCCATTTGAGTTTTTGCTTGTGGAATTTACATCAATGCCCATAATTCAGAGAAGATGAGAAGTTATCTTGAATGATAGGTTACAGTGCTTTAATAATTCTTAATTTTTGTAATAGTTTCTTTTGTCCTGAAAGGGCTTAAAGCACTCTCTAGATTTGGTATAAACAGGGTTCATATACCAGTGAAATGCAGCGCTCTTTGGTTGGAATGCAGTAAACATTTGGGGGTGGCAACAGTACATGCCAGTTTTTAGGGGGGGAAATGAATCAAAACTATATGAAGAATTTTACGGATGCACTTACAGTTAAATTTGACCAAGACATTGCAA